AATATTCTTAAAGATCAGCACACAAGAACTAGTGTTGCATAAATGAGGGGGTAGGGGGTGGTGGCCAGTGAGGAGGGGTTATGTAGCAATATTCTTAAAGGTCAGCACACAAGAACTAGTGTTGCATAAATGAGGGGTAGAGGTGGTGGCCAGTGGGGAGGGGTCATGTAGCAATATTCTTAAAGGTCAGCACACAAGAACTAGTGTTGCATAAATGAGGGGGTAGGGGGTGGTGGCCAGTGGGGAGGGGTTATGTAGCAATATTCTTAAAGGTCCACACACACGAGGGGACTGGTACCTGGGACTAATCCCTGGGACTTGTCCCCGTGACTAGTCGCGGGGACAAGTCTCACCGTGTGAACAAGCCATTTTTACCCCAAAATCGAGTCGCAGGGACTAAAATTTGTTCCCTGCGACTAGTCCCACAAATTAAGGGACAAGTCCCTGCGACCTTGTTCCTCAAAACGCTTCGTGTGAACTGTTCAAGGGACAAGTCGCTGCGACCAGTCCCTTCGTGTAAACTGTTCAGGGGACTAGTTGCAGGGACTTGTGGCAGAGACTAGTCCCCTTGTGGGGTCGACCTTAATGTAGAATGTCACTGGCAGTGGTGAGAAAAAGTAACGCTCAAACAGCTTATACCTGCAAATTTACAGATTATTTAGTACTTGATAACTTAATATGGAAAATTTAGAAAACATGTATAAAAAAACTGCTTGATAAAAGCTGAACCTTCTATCCCTATATTACATTAGGCCATCTTCGCTCCTAAAGGGGAGCATAGGGCGTCAACCATGGATCTCCACCTAACTCTATTACTGGCAGTTCGCTTTGCCTCTATCCACGTGAAATTATTCTTGGCGAGCTCAGCTATCACACTTCGCCTCCAGGATTGCTTTGGGCGACCTCTTCTTCTAGACCCCTGAGGGTTCTTCTATCCCTTAGTACTCCCCAACTTTTTTAACCCGGGAAAAAAAAATGACTGCAATGTTCTGACGTGCATTTAGCTTCTTTCACATGAAGATGTTTCCACCATTTTGTGCAGATCGAACCCTTCAAGCTTGCTGAAAGCAATCAACAATCTATTAAGAAGTTGAAAAGACCGTATGCTTACAACAGTGAAGATGAGGAAGACATTGTTTCATATGATGATGATGATGACTTCGAGATTGACAGTACAGCTTTGAAAGGAATTTTAAACAACACGGGAATTAAGGTGCCGTAAATATCACAATTACAGCACATGTTTGCTTTGATGAGTTGATTTGTTTTGTTTTGTTTTGTTTTTTTGTTTTGTTTTTGTTGTATGCTACCTCTTAAAGTACTTATTTAACAAATGCTTAATTTTTCAGGATGAAGATCTTCGAATTACTGGTCAAGCAACGATTGCAGCAATTCCTTCAAGGTGCTTGCATGTGACTACTACCACAGTGTTTCGAGTGGTTTTTAAGTGTTATTCAACCGGCCC